AAAAAAGACTGCAGGTTTGCTGAATTTGCTCAAATTATAACAAAATTTAGCTGAAAAAGGCTCAAATTAGCTAAAAAGTAGCCTAAAACACAAAAGTTGAAATTAGCAGGAGAATATCAGAAAAGTTCAGAGTAACTAAACAAGCAAAAAAATAAATAAAAAAACAAAAAACGCTAAAATTGGCAAACTAGAAACCGAAGGGTGCTAAAATTAGTACAAAGGAGTTAAAAATAGCAAATCTTGAAAAAAAGGTAAAAAGTACAGTAAAGATTTATGAACATTTTAAAACATTTTTATGTTTTTGAAAACAGGTCCATTCAGTTTTAATTAGAAAAAAACATGTCAGAAAAGGCTAAATATCTCAAAAAGTATAAATTGCTGAAATACCAAAAGTCATTGTTGCAATGACCTGAAGGAGCTAAAAGTTTTGATACATGAACTGTTGAAACAGCACAAAAGTTTTGGAACAAGATATGTGCCAAAAAAAAACACACATAGAAAAAATGATCTCAAGCATTCACAGTACTGAGGTTACCTTTATAAGCATTCACACCATTGGAGTAGAAATGGCTGCCTAAGAATGGCTTTTACCTCTTTATGTTTAAAAGACTCTGGTCTTTTGACATATACCAGCAATTCATCCAATTTCGTCTTTTTCAGTTTTGAAAATATTCTGACTCATATCATGGTTGTATTTGTGCATCTGCAAACCTTTAGTCAGTTTTTGTGCTGATAACGTTTGTATTTATTTCCTCATCTGTAGCAAGAAGTTTGTGGGTCTTGAAAAATAAAAAACAGAAACCACAGCTATGGTGGTTTGACTTAAGAAACTCAGTTGAGTGGTCCCCAAAGATGTCAGTCAGCACTACACTGGCCTATCTTTCGGCGAGTAACGTTTCATGGAGGTTCTAAGTGAGCTGAAGTGGTCAGAACACACATCAGTAATGTTATGGAGCATCTTCTGAAAGATCCCAGAAAGTTTATCTCAGATTTTATAGCAGCCTTGTGGAAATTTGGGACTTAACCTCTGGGGACTCCTACGCTCATAATTTTAAAATACTGACGCCATACAGGCCAAGTCTCATTACCCGCATCTTCCTTTCTCTGGTCACTGGCACCCATGCCCAGCAGTCACTGTGCAAAGGGTGGAGTACACACTGGACAGGTCTCTCTGGGTACCCCGGTTTCCTCCCACAGTCAAACAAGATGTTAGGCTGCCTTCAGGCCCAGGCCTCCCTTACATAAGAGATCTGTGATTTTAATGAGATTTGCCTGGTTAAATTAAGGTAAATAAATAATTTTTCCCTTTTCTACAGATTTTTAATGCAATGCCCCGGTTAATGAGATGGGTTCCTGGACCTCATAAGAAATTATTCAGGTTGATACTGAAGGTTATTGACTTTGTTGAAATCAGAATCAAAGAGCACAAAGAAAATCTCGACCCTTCTTCACCAAGAGATTACATCGACTCCTTCCTCATTGAAATGGGAGAGGTGAGTCTTTTGTTCATTTATTACATCTTCAGTATAAATGTCAACAGAACGTCTCATCTGTCTCTTGTGTCTTTCATAGAAAGAAGACAAAGATTCTGGTTTTGATCTCAGTAACTTGTGTATTTGCACTATGGACCTGTTTGGTGCTGGATCTGAAACCACCACAACTACTTTACACTGGGGGCTACTTTACATGATTTCCTACCCACATATACAAGGTACTGCCTTTGTTTCTCATATGGGTTTAACTGTAGATTCATCTCATTAGTGGTTCCTCACTGGTCAACCAGGAAAACTGCTATTGGACATTTGTGAACTTCATAAACTGACATTTTTTCTTGTTTTGGCTGTGCAGAGAAAGTCCAGGCTGAGATTGATGCTGTGATTGGTCCATCCAGACAGCCCTCTATAACTGACAGAGAAAACATGCCGTACACCAATGCAGTCATCCATGAGATACAGAGGATGGCAGACATTGTCCCACTCAATGTACCTCGCATAGCAAATAAGGACACAACTCTGAATCAGTTCTCAATCCCAAAGGTACATACTCCTAATGCTTAAAATAGGGATATATTGCTCCACCTGCTGTCATTTGTGATATACTCTATTTAGCAAGTTTACTCTTGTCATATTGTAACATGTAAATACAGTAAAAAAAACTCTATTCAATGAAGGATGTGTGCAGTGAAGTGTACTTATGTGTGTGTGCTGCATCCCATAATTGCTTTCACACAGAACGCAATTTGAGTGTCAAAAGCGTGTCCAACACTTCAAGTTGGATGCTTGTGCAATTTGAAGTCAGACACTCATCAAAATGGCTCTTGATACGTGTCACGCAAGAGCCTCTTGTTTTCCTCCTCTGCCGGTCTCTGTTTAATGGCGAATGAAATAAAGAAAGTGACTTTGCTTTATTTACTGTGAGCAAGAGCACGGCATGTTCACCAGATAATTAATTCATAATTAATTCACCAGATAATTCAAAGATGTTCTGAGTTTGGTGAGTTTCACCACTCCAGGAGATGCGAACTTTCAGAACTTTTTTTGTCCCAAGCCCAGTTTGACGAGCCGCTGACCTGCATCGGTGTTGATATCTCCTGCCAGGACACCGACTACAGGTGCTGAATTTCAGCTAAAGAGCTCCTGTCCATCTGTCGCAGATATGTGGACATTATTCAGGAAGCAGTTCCATCGGAAAATGTGTCACTATGCCACATAGTGGAGTCTCTCTGACTGGTTGATGCTCCACTTCGAGCTGCAAAAGCTCAGCTTTTCCAACTCCAGTTCGAAATATGTAAAATGCTCAAAATGCTTCAAAACGTGCTGTGCTAGATGCTCTAGACGCACCGCAGCACTTCCCGATGCCCCTTGACGTGCATCCACCATAGATTTTGCATGTAAACCTGATGCCCCTGATACTCAAAAGGCATTTGGTGTGAACGCAGCATCAGGGAGGAGGGGGATGAAGAACAGGCTGCGCTTACTACATACAAATATGATGCTATAAATACTACAGTTCAAGACACTTAAAATGCCAAAATTAATCCAATGCACAACTTTTAAAGTACTGTGTTCAACAAACATCTTGACCTAAATTTTATACCAACATCACAGTAATGATCCTCCTTTAAAAGACTGTTGATCAAATTCCCAGCTCACACCCAGACGTGCCTTCAATTCTCTCCTTGTGCCTAAATTCCAATTGTTCCTCATATTTACTTGCCCACTCCACTAAAACTGACCCAATCATATGCAGTCTTGATCCATCTATTTATCCACTATCTGTACCTTTTTGGGTAGCATAGGTTACTGGTGCCTATATCCAGCAGCCATTATGCAAGAAGTAGGGTGTTGAACTAGTCAGAACTTCCTGTTTTTAACCAAAGGGGGTCATTAGTTTGCATCAATGTCCTGTTATGCAGGTTTTATGAGCTAGGTATACCTTAAAATTGATGGTGTTGTATAATGGCAGGTTTTTGATAAGGAGCAGTATGCTAAATACAAGTATTGGTACTGCATACAATCATGTACCGGCTCAATTTAAGCTCTGCCATTTCCTGTACAGATTTAAATTTACAACCACATTTAAGCCCTAGAAAAGTAACTAGATACTGCATAGCAGTAACATAATGACCCCCGCACGCACAAATGCACCAGAACTCAGAAGTCTTTATTCCTAATAAATGTCACTAGGTGCATCCCAAAACTGTAGAGGTTTGGGGGGGGGGGGGGGGGGGGGGGGGGCATTGGTTGACCTGATGGATAGGCCCTCGTCGGAGCTCAACAACCAAAGAAAATCTGAAAATCCTATGTTAAATAG